GACTCAAATATGATATCATTTTAAGCTCATATTTAAATCATTTTAGGATCATAATATGATCATTTTCACTTCATATCATAAATGAGCCATACATGTCTCATTTATGTCTCATTTCCTGCGACCTGGGAACTGCCTCCTTGTCATTTCACAACTGCGAGGATAATTACAAATGCAATTCGCGCTAAAAAAGCACTGCAAGAGCTAACCCTTGTTGAGAAAGCTCGATTTTCAGATCGAAGATCAACATATTGTAATTCAGCATCGACAGAGACCATGGGTTGCCGACGGGAACCCAGGCTGGGCTGACATAGCGCGTAGATAAAAAATGCTCAATCAGTTCATTCCTATTCTGATTTGTATATCTTCACATGAGAAGCGAAGGAATGGTCGATGGAGTGCTAATTGAGTCAGGTCAGAGGCCTACGCTATTCACAATATGGTAGCAGAAACATGCGTTCTAATCCTGCTAAAGTTATAATCGAATCGAGTCGAATCGAATCTAATCGGAACGACTATGAAGTCAGTCGAATCGAATCGGGTCGAACTGAGATTTTGAGAAAGTAGGTCGAATCGAGTCGAATCGAATATGGATCCAGTCGAATCGAGTCGAACCCGAATCGATATTTTTCAATAACTATTGCCAATATATGTTTGCCAATTATTTGTCTGGAATAAATGGAATATATTTTGATTTATTACCACAATCTAATATATTATAATTACAATCGACTAATAAATCATTTATAACATAATCATAATTAATTATTTGTGTTTGATTATTCGAATTAAACAAATCGTTTATAAATTGTTTCATACAATAGACATTATTATTAATATATGAACAATTTGTATTTAGTAAATAATTATTATATGATTCATTAATTTTATCATAGCGAAATGGATTTGAATTACAAAATGTTATGGCTGGGAAATTTATTTCAGTTTCAGATCTAATTTCAATTATTGTTTGAGTTGGATAATGATAATATTCAATTATACATTGTACAATAAAATATAACATTAAACTACATGCTAATAAAAATGTTAAAAACCAAAATAGAAAATGTAAAGTATTATAAGCTGAACCTAAACTTTTTAGACCATGTGTTGATGTACTAATCAAATATTCATTTATAATTGATATACGACGACGTTTTATATAATCTTTCTTGTTATCTGATGTTTCTGTTTGATCATTTGTAGTTTGATTTGGATTATCTAATGTAAATGATAATGATGAAATAGTGCCCATTCTATTAGTTGTCTTCATGAATGTTAATGTGAAATTTTTGAATGACAATCACAATATATTTTTCTTTTGTTTTTATACGCCGTCCCATAAAAAAAGGAGAAAACGGAAAATATCTTTTTCATTAAAAATACCCGCTCGTATTTGATTAAGCGAAAAGAGAATGGATGTTTAATCGACCAGTATTAAAAGCAGAAGAAAAGAAATTTATTTGAATTTCTATTTATTTAACAGTCGCATCATTTGTATTTCATGCAAATATTTAATTATTCTACAGGAAATTAAAGAATTTTCTTTTATCGTGCAAATGCATGACAAGAAGAAAAGGCAATCAGTTTCATTTTCAATTTTAGACTTTTAGGGGTAAACAAATTGACAAAAACATGCGTTTTTTTTTTCGCTTTTAACGGCCAGAAAACGCATTAAAGGTTTAAAAACTTTTTTTTGTCGTTTAAACGCGTTTTTTTAATACATTTGTTTGCAAACGCGTTTTTCAATGAAAACGTTAATTAACGCGTTTTGAAATGATTCAAAAATAAAACGAGGGGAAAATACAGAGGTTTAAACCACCACCTTTTGTCCCATCATTCTTTCACTTTTCGCATTCAGCCATATCCTCCTGACATTACATTAGCTGACAACAAGCTAATAGAGAGCAGTAAAATGAGTACTTAACGAAAAATTTCAATTTTAAGAAAAAAATCGTTAGCAAAGGCACGAAAAACCCGTACTTCCGAACGCGTTAGCGAACGATCGTTAAAAGAGCCGTTTAAGCGCGTTTTCTGTCGTTCAAAACTTTAAAATAACACGTTCTTCGACAACGCGTTTGCTAACGATCGTTCGCGAACGCGTTCTGAAAATACACGTTTTCCTGCCGTTCCTAACAAATTTTTTTCGCGTAGATATAACAAAAAAATCAGTTGAAATACTATTCAAAACTTGGATATTATATATTTAAATCAATCGAAATAATTTTATTTATGATTAAAAGCAGAGCCGGCGGAATCTTTCAAAATGGTGTAAGGTTCAACGTAAAATAGTCTCTTACTCAAAAAAGATTTTTTTAAACACGCATGGAACGATAGAACCGATTCAATCGGTATGAATCGAGTTCAAATATATTGACATTAAGTAACCATACATATCAAAATTTGATGGTTTTTTTCTAGAGAAGCGTACCTCGAGATTTTTACATATTCGGAATCAGCGTGACGAGTTACGTTGTACGGCGCAAAGATCTCGTCGGGGTATTTCCGATTTTTGGG